CCATAGGTATAATTTTTTTTTAATTTATTTATTTTAGTCTTCCCTGCTTTTTGAAGGGGTTTATTTTTTATTGTTTTTTACTGAGGACATGTGATAGAAGGATTTAGAAGGTATGTTTTTGAGCTAATTCACCACTTCAGAACCACACATCATTCCTCTCAGCAATCACAAACATCATCTGCTACTGTAAGCCGGGAGGGAGTTTAAAGTAACTAGTCCTTCTACCAGCAAATCTTTTGGAGAAAGAAATGAAGTCAATATATATTAATGATTGACAACATCATAGATGTATCTTTGTCTGATAAAGAATATATATTTAACAGCACCATCCAGCAACTTTTGAGATGAACTGCTAAAATCTGTTTAGCTGAGGCTTTCTCTTTGACAATCCAGGATGCGTTATATAGTATTAAAGTTGAATTTTGCATTAAAATTCATGTGAAGCTAATTCTCAAGGCAAAAAGCTGCTCTATCACACAAGACAATGGAATGTGCCATTTTTCATTATACACTCTATTTTATGGCTGATAGCTCTTTAATATGAAGATTGGTCATCAGTTATGAGAATTATAAGTTACTATTAGTTTTAAAAATTCAGTTTGTTTTTACCTGATATTTTCAGCACTTTTATCTAGTAGACTTTCAGGACTAAGACCACAAATAGCCCTTAGATACAGAAATTTGAATTTTTATTACTATCAAAGTTTCAGTTCGAACAGACATTCAACTTTGATAAAATACTTAAAAACTTTACATTGAGTGAACTTTTTCCATACATCCCTCTTTAATTGGCCCAAAGTAAACAACAGTGACGTCTGTATGTGTTTCCCAAGGGGAAAACAGTTTAAGGATGATATAAAATAATTGATTTTGTTAATTTCTGGCCTGGTTAATGGACTATAGATAATTTGTACTATAAATTCATGGGACTAAAATAATTAATTTCAGAAAGTTCATCTGCCTGGAAGAAAGTTCAACAACAAAAAATCTATACAGTTCTAGAATTCTATGCATTAAATTAAAACAAAAGCAAACCCAATCTTTCCCCTCCCCCCTCCAAACCAAAAAAACCCCACGAGTTGTTAGCAGTAGGGATATTCAGTCACTAAACAAGGAACACCCCGCGGAGTCCAGTCATTAACTACAGTCATGCAGAGAGAAACTTAAAATCCTAGGGAGAGGATTTTTTAGCACCCCCTGGATATCAGCAGGTTACAGCAGAAGCCAGTTATTTTATCTGCAGCTGGCTGCAAAACATGATCCATAGTCCCAGGGAATTGCTCTCTGCTTGTGTCACCTCAGTTTTGTGGTCATGCTGGATGCTTAATGGCCAGTGTGAAATGTTTCTTTAGAGTTCACTACCTGCTGGGCTTGGAAGTGCAAATCTGCGCTGGCTGTCCACTGTGGGTAGTCCATTAAAATGATGCTCATTCACTCACGGGCCATATCAGAGGGACAGTTGTCATAATCTGCCTGAGTGAGAAAAGTGCAATATGCTGCTGGCTGAGGAAAGCGTTATCTACCATCGCCAGCAATTTTGCTATTCTTGTCTTGACAGATGACAGGTAGGTTTGATTTACTATTATTAATCCAGTGCGTTTGCCCATATGCCAGTTAAAATTTGCTCTCCTTTGAAGTTAGCGCAGAAGTACTGGAGCTCTGAAAAAATGCTGTCTGTCTCCTTTCCCATCCTCTCATCTGGAATTCAGCTTCTCTGGCAATATCCCACTGACCTGCTGGCAGGCCCTGTGCAAACAGCTGCCAGAGCCTGTCAGCCCATTGGTATATCACTAATTTCTCCTTTTCAAAGTCGGCAAATTCTAACCGTGTCTGGAGGTGCAGGTATTAACAGAGTGGCCGTATGCGGATAGCACAATTCTTAGTAAATCCTGCAGCCTCTTGGCCTGGGATACTTTTAATGCCTCCCCTTTTTATAAGTGTAAGCAAGCCCCCAAACCGGTGGCTTGAATGGCTGTCACCTCCAGATGTCCCCTTTCAAGAGAGGGGCAGGCTAGCAGCTGACTGAATGTGTGTTTTTATGTACCATAGATTTTAAGTTCTAAATACTATTTTGCATTGAATTATTTTCCTTGTCCTGAGATTTCTTTGAATGGTAATATATTAATGCAGTCACAGACATTAAGAAAAGGTATATAACTGGGGAGAGTGTAACCAGGTTACATAAGTGACAGGTAGTAAGAAAAGAAGCCAAAGTCAACAAGAAAGAGGAAGCAAAAATGGAGGATTGATGGCAAGTCAGCGCTAGATGCATAAAGTCTACATTTCAGATTTTCCAGTGTTTGCACTTGTAGCTTATATAAACTTTCCAGATAAGCATGGTTAGGTTTTTTTTCAGGGTGTCTACTTTCCCAGCTGCCTTTCATTCTCAAGAGACTCACTGTTCTTACACCCACCACTGAACCAGTCAGGCTGATCCATTCTGGGTCCAATACTCTCTGTTTTGCCCTCTTCATAACAAGTCTGAGCACCTAAACCTTGAGTCATGGGGCTGAAGTATCACACCTTCCTTTGTAGGATCCCAGGAATAGCTTCTCATTTATGCAGAGGACTAAAGGAGGGAAAATGTGTGCAAGACAATTAAGAAAGAGAGAAGAGACATCAGTAATCATATGTGGCACTGTGATTGCCGCTGTGTCTCTGTAAAGTACTAGCAGACAGTAATCAGGTTAAAACTGGATAAAGTGGTAGAAAATTACTGAGACAATCTTTTGCATAAACTTTTATTACTGGAAGCTAAAAGAGGAATATTTCAGGGTTCCACAGTAATTATTAAGGTTTTTGCACCAGATTTTCTTCTTAGTCTTCACCTACCGAGACACAGCATCACTTATAAAACTGCCCAACATTGCAGCATGTAAGTACCACACTTCTCTTCAGTACTGTGCTGAAAAAAGCATCATCTTACAGGTTGTCTTAGAAAGGGCACTAGTATGGAAATCTTAACTGCAATCTTTACTACCAAAGTCTCTCCTCATTTTATTGGTGTTATGACATCTAAGATACCAATATCAGATACACAGGGATTTTTATTCTCCAAGGGTATGGCTGTGCAGTAAGACAAACGAGGTATGATGTTAGGAAGTGAAAATGGCTCAAACCTTCTCAACCCAGACCCCTCAGATGTTCCAAATATAGAATCATAGAATAGTTAGGGTTGGAAAGGACCTTGGAAAGGACCATCAAGTTCCAACCCTCCTGCCATGGGCAAGGGACACCTCACACTAAACCATGTCACCCAAGGCTCTGGCCAGGCAAAAGCACCTTTTCAAAATATAGTCTCTGCCATGCCTTTGAAAGCTATTTGCAGTCATACCATCCCACCATTGAAGTTAAATGACAGGCTGCCTGATTGTTTTTTTTTTTCTTAAAGTAAGCATTTCTCCATCACCCTTAATGACTTTTAAGTGAAAGTCCCTAGAAGAGTAAAGTCACCACACATAATATGGAAGTTGTATTTAAAAATAATTCAAACAAAGAAAGCTTTTTTTTTCTGGCTGGTATTTAAAGGTGCTACTGCTAGTTCCAGAATAAGATTTCAAATACAGTGAAGAGTAGCCCCCTTTCTGCATATGACCAAAGTAAATTGCAAACAATTCCAATTACAGCCTCCTACATCACTTTTATACAGTCAGAAGATTAGAAAGGTGAAAAATCTTAGCTCAGTGGTTTTCACTAATTACTGATTTTTCCCTCTGTGGCAACCTTTCCTACCTAACCCCTTTTGGTGCAGAATGCTCTGGGATTCCCTTTTTTCTTACCATTAAAGTTACTACACTGCTTATGTACAAATTCAGGTTACAAAGGAAATATAATCCATGCAAAAAAAGGTATTAAATGTGAAGAAACTACAGTTATCAATTACATGCATACAATCCCAAGAGACAAACAATGCCACTGAGTTTTCATAATATAGATTCATATTATAGATTTTCATAATATAGATTCATATTATAGATTACCTGGTCGATCCACTAAAATGGCAGCTCAAGTAGTCAAGAATGAAGACTGTTGTACAGAAGGCTTGTTACAGCTTCAGTCACACCTCCAAACACATGATCTTCATGATAAATGTGTCCAAGTTGGCTTCAGAAGAGACAGAACTCTGAATCTGCTTTTCAAAGTTATGCTTTGATCTTTTCTGGTATTCTGATTCTGGGATACATGTTATGTATTAGCGTGCCTTTATATTTCTGCTGAGTTTGATGCCATAAACTACAGAGTTCTTTTAAAAATGCTTTGTGCAGATTTTAGGACCGAATGAAATTGATCTATTTAACTTACAGTTCACTGCTAAGCTGCAAGTTCGGTGTATAGTTGCTTCAAGTTGTTTTTTTTTTCCATCAGTTGAGTTTCATGGAACTCCATTTCTGGCTGAGTGCTCTTTGTATCCATACCAATTTTTTTTTCCTTCAGTTATTTGTCAATATGATCCAGTAATTTATTTTTGTGACAACACTTATGCTACAAGTCACAGAGGCCTTAGTATGTGAAATTACGTTCCACTTACATAATGTAGACCCTGTTCAACTCCTTTGGATAATTAAAGATAAACTTCCTAAAGCAAAGTATTTACTAGATCAAACACATGACATGTAGCCATGTGTTTGATCAAACACTTGTAATGTTTGGAGGAAAGGATTTCTCTGCATAGAATAAAGTTCACAGTATCCATTCACAACAGAATTTTAGATTTATTTTAAATAGTACGTTATATGACTGGAGGGATTCTTCTTATCGTTGAGTGATTCTGGATTTCTGTTCCCATCTTCCTAGGGATGGAAGACTATTCCTGAACTTTGCTGCTGTGATCCTCTGTGACATGATATTTGCTTCATGTGTTTCTATCTTTACTTGTTTTATGAAGAGTGAACAGGATTGAGCCAAGGATGCTCAGGAGAGCGTGTCTGTGTCCATGGTGCAGAACAGGACACAGCCAGCAAGGCAATAAGATGCCAACCTGCTCCTCAAGTAGAGGCTGCAATGGGGAGCAGCAGACCAGGCAGGTCTTAGAGATGCTGGAGAAAAGGCACTGCTAATGACTCAGGAGGCCAAGCACACTCTGCTGCAATTCAAGAAGCCAGAAACTTCACTAAGGCTCAAATGGGAAGCATGGCTCTCCAATCACATGGACACAGACAACAATGGAGGAAATGCCATAAACTTCTCATTTCTATTCTTTATAATCCAGTAACGTTGAGCTTTCTATTGAAGAAATGTGCTAGTGTATTATCGAATTGATGCTGCCTTTTTTGAGCTCTGTGTTGGGGTTTTCTTCGGGAATTTTCTACAAAGGGGCATGTGCACATCCACTTCAAAGATCTGGAAACTAAAGCTCTGTCACATTCAGCCCATGTTGCAGTTTTTCTTGTCTTTCCTTTATAGCCTTATTTTCAAATCTTTGCTTTAAAACCTACTTAACACCTCTGCCCGTTATCATCTTTTGCTGTCAGTCAGGAGAGCCTGCTTCTTCCATAGCCCTTCCTTCCTTTATCAGTAGCTGACTTGGCTTGGATCCAGGTACAGAAATGTTTGCCTTGGCAGACCTGACACCTTGAACTTGATACTCATGCTAAAACATGTACTTCCAGTAGCCTGAGAGGTCAGGTATCAGCTTTTCCAGAAGAATACTGATCTGGTGATATGTTCCACTTTGTGATATCAAAGACATTAAGACTACGTAACATTGTTTTCCATTTCAGATGAGGCCATTTCCATTTGTCCATCCTCCTTCCCATTTATCATCCTGCCCCCACATCCATCAGTGACATCCTGTGTAGAAATCCTGCTTCACCACATGACATTTGCTCCTCAGTGTGGGGCACTGTATGCCTTCTCTCCTCTGCAACTACACTGTGCTCACAGATACACCCTGCCTCGCAGTGGCCTTCTTCAGTGCTTGTGGAAGCAGACCCCAAGGCTTTCTACCACTCATCTTACAGGGTTTCACCTTCTTTAAACTCCAAAATACCTTTTTTCCTCTGCTAACCAGACAGTGTTGCCTCCAGCACTGCTGGAGCCTTCCTCTCCACATCACAACAGAAAATCCCACATTCTTCTTCCTAGCAAGGAAGTCCGTGGTCCCACTAGGCTTCTCTGAATTCAAGTCTACAGATCAGAAACAGAAACGGATAAACTCCTTCTGTGATCAACGGATTCTCAGTCTTATCTTTTGAATCTTTCATCTCTGTGGACGAGCACAAGCTAGCAAGCTCTTCTTTTTGTTCTTGTCTTTAGTTTTTTAAGATGGGGAAGCCAGCAAAATAACCCTTCTGCTGACCAGTGTCACTCCAGTCATCTTTGGCCCCAGTAAATGCAATATCAAGTCATAGAATCACAGAATCATAGAATAGTTAAGGTTGGAAAGGACCTTAAGATCCTCTAGTTCCAACCCCCCTGCCATGGGCAGGGACACCTCACACTAAAGAATGCCACCCAAGGCTGTGTCCAGCCTGGCCTTGAACACTGCCAGGGATGGAGCATTCACAACGTCCTTGGGCAACTGTTGTGGTTTAAACCCAGTCAGGTAACTTGTTCACTCACTCCCAGTGAGTGGTGCCGGGCTGACAACAATCGAGCCACCCCCCCTCCCGGGGCTCTCCCCTTCCCCACTCCCTGAGGAACGGGGAGGAGGATCGAAAGAGTGCAACACCTGCGGGTTGAGACAAGAACAGTCCAGCAACCAATGTACAACACAAATCACCACCGCTACTATCAACTACAACAATGATAAGGGAAAATAACAAGGGAAGAGAATACGATACCACCGGCCAAGAAACGAGTCCCACCCGGAAGCCCGTGTCCTTCCGGGTAACTCCCAGTTACCCCCCACCCCGGCCATGACGTGCTGTGGTATGGAATACCTCCCTGGCTAGCCTGGTTCAGGTGTCCTGTCTCTGCTTCCTCACGGCTTCCCCTCCTCCCTGGCAGAGCATGAGCCTCACAAAGTCCTTGGTCAGGGTAAACATCACTTAGCAACAACCAAAAACATCGGTATCACCAACACTGTTCTCAGACTGGAAGTCAAAACACAGCACTGCACCAGCTAACACGAAGGAAAAACATGACTGCTACTGCTGAACCCAGGACAGCAACCCATTCCAGTGCCTCACCACCCTTACAGTAAAGAACTTCTTCCTTATATCCAACCTAAACTTCCCCTGTTTAACCTGTTACCCCTTGTCCTATCACTACAGTCCCTAATGAAGAGTCCCTCCCCAGCATCCCTATAGCCCCCCTTCAGATACTGGAAGGCTGCTATGAGGTCGCCATGCAGGCTTCTCTTCTCCAGGCTGAACAGCCCCAACTTCCTCAGCCTATCTTCATATGGGAGGTGCTCCAGTCCCCTGATCATCCTCATGACCCTTCTCTGAACTTGTTCCAACAGTTCCATGTCCTTTTTATGTTGAGAACTCCAGAACTGCACACAATACTCCAGGTAAGGTCTCATGAAAGCAGAATAGAGGGGCAGAATCACCTCCTTCGAGCTGCTGGTCACGCTCTTTTTGATGCAGCACACTGAAGCAGGCTCATGCTCATTTTCTCATCAATCAACACCCCCAAGTCCTTCTCCACAGGGCTGCTCTGGATCTCTTCTCTGCCCTTCTATAGTAAGTCCCTCTATAGTACCCTCCATCTGCTCCAGAATATCTGATTATCCACTATTTCAGAGCCATTGTGGATATTTCTGCTAAGTCTTCTACTTAATCACAGCTAAGTGCATCAATGAATACCTGTTTGTCTCTGAGGATGTTTCTCTGCAGATGGGGAAACCTACTGCACCTCATATTGTTATTGCTTTTTTGCTGCTCTATCTTCACCTTCAAGTCATCTTGCTGATTTCTTAACATTTCTTTCGGCACTACTTTCTCTGTCACCAACTCAAATCGTCTCCTCAAAACCCCAAAATATAATATGATTATGTTCTCACCTTTGAGAATAGAGCTAAGAATGTAAAGCATTATAAAATTCGAGCTTACAGTGGCCAGTGGTCTTCTTATAGATGATGGAGTGAAAAGAAATATCATGCCTGTCAGAAAACATGATAGCTAGGAAAATGGTTTTCTCATTGTTAGAAAGTTGGTATCATTTCATATTTGAGAAAGATGAATGTGCAAAAGAGGAACAGTCTGTAACAGGATTAATACTCACTTTGAAGCCACCAGTGAATCAATCTACTAATGATAAAGAAAGATAATGCAATAGTGACCTCATCCATAAAAATTCCTCTCCCTGAAGAAAGATGAAATAAAAATTACACTTTTATGAAAACCTTGTAACTCTTGAATTTCAGTCCTCCAAAATAACACACTGTCATGATTAAGGAGGAAAAGAAAATGAGTAGCAATTGATGCCAAGGAATAAGAGTCATCATAAAAATGGTGAGACTCACACAGTATTACTTGGTTTTTCTGCATCTAACCTGTAATATTTAGAAAAGCACAGATGTACTGATATTAAATTTCAGCTAACAAAACCAACTGTATATTTACTAATTCAAGGCAAAAGAATGTCAAATGAAGTACATACTGAGTCCAGCTTTGACCCAGACCACAGAGCACTGGTAAGAGAAAGACTTGTTATGGTCTAGAGCTAATAAAGCACATCAGGAACACAGACAATACATATGATATAGCCTTTCTGAAAAATAGGTTTTCTAGGAGCAGGTAATACATTCTATTTGGCTTCAAAACCGTGTCAGCTATATCACCCAATTTAGTAAGATAACACCTCCTGTTACAAATCTCGATTCTCTTATATCCTAAAATCAGTAGGGCTATTGAAATAGTGCAATTAGAAAATCTGAAAAGTACAACATATAGACAACAAGTCCAGGTTTACAAATCAGAGGAATTTAGAAAAGTTACTTGAAGAAGGGTTGAAGGTGTGATGACAACAGAGACACTGTAAAGAGAACTACATATAGATTAAAATCCTCCTTAAATTAGTTTTAATATTTTAATATCTTCTTTCTCTAATTTTTTGACTGCGGTTCTTCTAAGAAATCCTTGGGATACTTTATTTGCAAGGATCTTTCTCTTGCTTTGATTTTATCTGTAATCAACATTATTATTCCTTTCTTTTCTAAACAAAACTGATGACTTTTCTTGCTGGAACATGCTAGTTGCCTTTAGATTTATGAGATTTAGAGCTGAGATTTTCAAACAGAGATTTTCAGACAAAGCTCTTAGACATGATGTGCTAATTGGGAAATTATCACACAAGTAACAATAACTATGAAATGGATATTACTTAAGCTGAGGCCCATAAATTAGAATTACCCATCTGCATGCAAATTAAGATGCAGTGGAGATGGCATTTACTTAGAAGAGTGGGAGTCCGGAAAGTTTCTTTTCAAGCTCCACAATAAAACCAGACAAGAAGCTGTTGCCATTTAGAAATGAAGAAGTAAGATGACTGGTACGGGAAGCGGAAAATTGATTTTTAAAGTGGTTTCATTTGAATAGAGAAGCTTGGTGAAAGGTAGGGAAAGGAATGGGCACCACTTAGGTCTGTATGTGATGTCAAGTGGAAAGCTCAGGAGAGGGATGCTGGATGCTGGAGTAAGACTGATTTAACAGTAGATGCAATTTAAGTGAAAAGGCTAAGGTGCTGGCAACTGAGGGTTGAGATGGCATCCATTTAAAAGTGGGTTTAATTTAAACAGGAAGTCCAAGGAGGTGGAAGGTGAAGACTAAAAAAAAAATCAATATTAAATTAGATAAGTAGAAACTTGAATCAAATCAGCTAGTTAAAAAAGGCATACTGAGTATTTGGGATTAGGGATGCAATACTTGTACCTCAGAAATGTTCAGGAACTCTCAATAAACAATATATCCCCTCTAAACAGAGTAAGAATTCAATTTTATTAAGGATATTATTTGTTACAGTAGTAAACTGAAAAATCTTGAATGAAGGTATGATCTGCAGTTTAAGGAAAATTATATGATTATAATTATATTCCTATTTGAAGTTGTCTTTTATGTATATACAGGTGTGTGTATATATATATATATATATAGGATATGTAATATAATATTAATAGAATCATAGAATCACAGAATCATAGACCAGTTTGGGTTAGAAGGGACCTTTAAAGGTTATCCAGTCCAACCCACCCTGCAATGAGCAAGGACATCTTCAACCAGACCAGGCTGCTCAGAGCCTGACCTTGAATGTTTCCAGGGACTGGGAATCTACTGCCTCTTTAGGCAACATGTGATAGTGTTTCACTCACCCTCACTGAACAAAAATTCTTTCTTATAGCTGAATATTCAGAATCAATGGTGAAATGCTTAACATGAATTATACTTACAAACCAGAAATTTATGAGGTAGTAGCAAACTAGCTTTTAAAAACTCCTTTTTAGTTATCAGTCTGGAAATCAGCTCAAAACTGAAAGGAGTCTCTATATACTTACGTTTGAAACAGCATGAGTATATATACAAATACATATCCATACATAAACATATACATCTACACACATATATACATATATATGTACGTAGTTATCCAAACAGGTAGAAATTGTCCAATAAATGATATAATACTGTTCAGACACCTTTCTCTGTTCAAGAACAGTGCTAGTACTTTCTGCAAACAACATCTTTTGCTTTCCATACAGATTATTTCTGAATGCTTAACCTATTCTCCTGAAGTCCCATTTAAACCATTACTTATATAGATGTACATATTTCTACAGTCAGAATCCAAAATCATGGATGGAAGGTAATGATTGCAGCTCTGCACCTTTTGGTATCTGAAAGCTCACACAGTTTGTTGGAATGAAAGAGATCTCTCCTAAACTCTCCCTCAACTTTGTGAAAACAAAAATGAGCAAGTGGATAACTCTGACTTGATCAAAATGATCAAGTATCATTTCGATATATGACGCAGAGCAGAGTAGGCATCATCTGCTGAGCTATGTGCAGTGCCAGGCAGCTGGTTCTGGCTACTCAGGTTTTTACCTACACAGGAACATTTCAAAGCTGTACCACGTACAGATGGCTACTGCACTCACCTACTAACATTCTGGAGAATATCTGATAATAATTCTTTGTGGTAAAGTGATTGAAGTGGCTCTTGCCCACTGAATTTCAGGGAAAAAA